TCTTTTCTGCAACCTAGCCTCATCAGTTTCTAGGAGAGAGACCCTGTTCCTGCCTTTGTGCTCATGTTTTGGGGGACATTTATTGGAATGACTTGTCTTTCTCCCATTCTCCAGGCCCTTCCATTATGGCTGTTCCTTATCTACTAGAGTACCTGTCTCCTCCTGTTCTCAGCTCAGTAAAAAAGCTCCTTCTTCCCCTTTTTCTTCTTTTTGGTGGTACTGGGAATTGAATTAAGGGCATTGTACTTGCTAAGCAGGTGCTCTACCACTTGAGACACTCTACCAGCCCTTTTTACATTGGTTATTTTGAGATAGGGTCTTGCTTTATGCTGGTTCAGCCTGCAATCCTCCTCTTTGTGCTTCCCTGGATAGCTGGGGTGACAGGTACATACCACCATGCCCAACCATTGGTTGAGATGGAGTCTTGCAAATTTTTTGCCTGGAGTTGGCTACCAACCACAATCCTAGGATTGTGGTTATCTCTGCCTGCCAAGTAGCTAGGATTACAGGTTTGAGTCACTACTCCCAGTTTTCATTTTCTTTAAGTCCCTAATTTCAGATTGGGTTGACTCTTTCATATTGTTTTGCATTTCCTGTAGGCACACTGCAGACTGCTTGATGCCCATGACTTTGGAAACTGCAGTAGTTAGGCATGCCAGCTTTAGCATCAGACAGAGGTGGGTTTGAATTTTGAATCTTGCTCTAACTAGATAAGTGTCTTTAGGCAAGCCTCTTGATGTCTCTGAACCTCATTTTTTCCCTTTTAAAATGGGAATAGTGTCTGTAGTTGTCCTCATGGGGAAGTTGGAGGTTAAATGAGATAATTCGGTATGAGTCCTGGCATGTACCTGCCTTCGTAGATAATCACCAACTCTGCCATTAGCATCACCTTGTTAAGTACATAGAGGGCTCACCAGAGAAGCCTGTATTTTAATTCATATAGTGAGGCTTGTTGGTTTGTACATTTTCATTTCTGGGGTCAACTTGTGCCTATACTTCGGCTGCAGGAACTTTCACAACCAGGGTTTTAAGGCAAGACCTGGTGACTCACCCACCTCCAGAGGGAGGCAGGGGAGCTACTGATCCTTTTCCTGTTGCTTCTCCCAGACTTGGTTTTGAATCTGTTCAGGGGCCTGAAGAGCTGGCTGTACCTCCAAATGGCTAATCCTAGTGCCTCAGTGTCCAGGGCCACCCTGGGGAAGGAGCAAGGTTGGATTCAGTTTGTATTCTGTTCCTTTGTTTCAGCATCAGGCTATATCACATGGACATTAATTTACCACATCTAAAAAGACCTTTGAGAATGATATGGAATTCTGTTTACTTCTCACTGACAAGGTATGATGTCCTCATCTCTCTGTTGGGTAAGGGCAGACTCAAAGCAGTGACACAATTTTCTTAAAGTGACATACCTGTCTGATCCAAAATAAAATCTTGCTGCAATTAATCCCTTCTTAAACTAATATGAAAGAGAAGGTAGAGTCCATACAATCAGAACACCCATTTGATACAAATCAAAAGAGCTTCCTCTGGCTGGGGATGTAGCTCAGCGGGAAACACTTGCTTAGCAAGTGCAAGGCTCTGGGTTCGGTCCCCAGTACTAGCAAACAAAACAAAAAAAGGGCTTTCTCCAAGTTGCTGATCCCTAAATCAATATATCTGAAGGGTCCAATCACAGATTCCCCACTGGGCTGCTCACACAGATCTCAGAAACATGTGATAGTTGTCTTTCTGAGTCAGAGCCTGCCACTCACAGATTTGTTCTCCCTTTCCTCAGGCTCTGCCCTCCATTCAGCCTGCCCTTCTCGTCTAAAAGACCTTCAAACTGTTACGTCCCATTTACCACTGTGTTAGTTGCTTTTCTTTGTTGTGACAAAGTACCTGACATAACAACTTAAAGGAGAAAGATTTATTTGGTTCATGGTTTGGGGCATTCAGTCCCTGGTTGCTTGGCTCCATGCACTTGGGGGAACACCACAGCATAGGAGCATGTACATAGGAACTTCTGCACCTCATTGCACACAGGAAGCAAAGGGTCAGGCAGGAACAGGCTCTGAGTTACCAACTCCTCCAGTGAAGTACTGCCTCCCTCCCGAAGTTTCCAGAACCTTCCAAAATTGTGCCACCAGCTGGGGACCAAATGTTCAACACACGAGCTTATTGGGGACATTTCATACTCAAACCACAACCCCCTTGCCTACACAGCAACCATTTTCCTCCCCACTTTCTCCCTAGAAAGTCAGTACCCACTAGCCTCTGAAGAGTCTCCATGTAAGTACAAGACAGAAGCAACCCAAATGTCTAGTAATAACGAATGGCTTAGATAAGTGTAGGATATCTATATTAACAAATATCAGGCTTCTATTCAACATCTTTTTAAGATTAGTTGCACAAAAATATTGGGTTTCCTTATGACAATTTTAATACTTGTACACTATGTATTTCCATCATACTCACCCATCACTCTCTTCTCCTCCTCCTCCTGCTGGTTCCCCTCTCCCCTAAGTGGTACCCTTTTAATTTCATGTCTTTAAAAAAAATCTAGAGCCACATGTGAGAAAACATGTGATATTTGTCTTTCTGAGTCAGACTTATTTCACTTAATGTGATGATCTCCAGTTCCACCCACTTTCCTACAAATGACATGATTTTGTTCTTTTTTGTGGCTGAATAATACTCCATTATCAACATCTTATTCTGGTACAATGCTCATGGTATAAGTGACCAAAAGTCATACATAAATTACATGTGCCATAGAATGCTAGTTATCTAGCTGCATAAGCATAGAAAAAGACACTGGAAGGAAACACTCTGTACCAGAAAGCTAACAGTGATTTTTTTCTGGCTAGGAGATCATAGATTTTTAATCTTTTTATTAACATCTTTATAACATCCATGTGTTCTTTTTATTAGAAACCTTATTATTATGTCCTTGTCTTGTCTTGCAGCTTGTACTAGTCTTCTGAGAACTGCAAGTGCTATTAACTGGTAAGAATAAGACTCCAGGGGGAGTCAGAAACAAGGAGTAAAGAGCAGGAGAGGTGATTCTGGAAGGATCACTAAAGGAAGTAAAACTTGAGTAAATACTCACTACTTGAATACTTTCCAAGGATGGCCAGCTGGCCTAGTAGAGAAGAGGAGAGAGAAACTCCAGGAAGGGGAAATAGCAAGCACAAAGCAAGGAGATGAGGAAGAAAAAGTGGCTGGTGCCTAGTCGGGACTGAGTTCTGGAGGGGATGTAAAATATACATCCATCTTGCACACAGAGGCATGTGTTTATGGAGGGAATGATAAAGTGACAGTAACCTACATCCTCATTCACACCCTATCTCATTGTCCTACTCTCATGGGGCCCTCTTGAAGTTCACAGTTTTAGAAGAAGGGAGACAACTTCAAATCCTCACTTGATAGCTCCTTCCATTCTTAACTCAGATTGTTGACTAGCCAGACTCTAGGGGATCCTTTAAGGGGGTTGGATAGTAAGGCATGGGGTAATGGCACTTTGGGGTGGGTGGTCCTGGGCACAAAGCCAAAGGGAAGGCTTGAGGTAAATGGGCAATAGAGGAGGAAAGGGAGGGAAGAGGAGCACCACAGACACAGATCTACTCACCCCTCTAGTGCTCCCTCTCTCCTCAAAATGAGGCTTATCTCCAGGTAATTGCTTCTAGATTACTTCATATCTTTCTTCACTCACTCTCTGCTCCCCCATCTCCTCTGGAGAACTCAGTTCTTCCCTCTCTCTCTCCTCCCTCTTCCTAAGAACACCCTATTAAGCTGGGTGGGGAAATCATTTCTTAGAAACTTCAGGGCTCAAGTAAAGCACATCCACATTTTACTTCCTATCTTTTCATTTGACTCCACCTCCTCCTCTTCAGTTCCTTTTAAAGGTTTGCTTAAAAATCTCCCCTAGGTAATGCCACTTCAACCTTGCTTATTTACTCCTGCTACATCTTCTCTTCTAGTCTGAAGATTTGCTATTTCCCACACTAGAAGAATTGCTGACGGTGGAGGAAACAGCAAGCACAGGCAAGGAGTCAAGAAAGAAAAGTGGGTGGGGCCTGGTTAGGAGTGATTTTTGGAGGGCAGGGTTCAGCCTCTTGTCTTCCTCATGGACATGGAGAATACATGGGGAGGGGTGACTGGAGCTGAAGCATGACCTCAGGCGAGGCTGACCCTGAATTTCAATAAGGTGCAAGTAGTGATACCTGCCCTGCCCACCTCAGAGAGCTCCAATGCGATCAGGGGCACGGTGTGTCATACACAATTTCAGGAATTGGGTTGACCCAGTTTCCCTTTGCTGACTCTTTGGGGAGGATGACTGCTTCTGTAACAGAAGCTCACAAGTTGAAGAGAGAGGCCATCTTATTGGCCACCTCCATTTGGAGAATCAGAAATGTCCTCAATTCTAAAATGATTATAGATATTCTGTATCAGAGACTGTGGCTTGCCGAATGGGTCCTCCAAAGTGAACTGGGTGGGCAAATAATTAATTGGATTGGAATAAGGAATGGAGCCAAGACAAGGGTGGGGAATCCATTCTTTTGAGCCAAGTAATCTCTTCTAGTAATGTTCAGTGAAGAGACTGATGTAAAAATTTGAACATTGAATTTGCCATAAGGGAAGAGCTAGAGGTGGGAGATGCAGCACCAAGGCTGTGTAGATCTGATTTCTAGACTTTGCTCTGAATGGAACCTACCCATGCTTGGTGGGCACCCGCTATGTCTTAGCTCCTAAATTAATCAGAGTGATTTCTTCCTGAGGACAAAAGTCTTAGATTCTTTGTCAAGGACCCTTTATCCTTTCTGAGCACTGAATACTCTAAGAATCCAATAGAAGTTATGAATCTTCTCTCCACCAAAAAGCACTCATACATATTAAAATTATTTTTTCTATTGCCATGGTGTTTGAGAGTGAAAAAAAAAACCTAGTACAACTTCCTGTTTCTGGTTTCCTCATGTAGACTTGCATCATGAGTTCCTTTTCTACCCTTGGTTCCTTTCTAGCCTAGCTCTCGGCTGTCTCCAGCATTTTTGGCAAGATCTGGAAAGTAACATGTACCTAGAAGATGGGAGTTGTATCTGACTCTGGATATACTACTGCTGCCTCTGCTGGTGACTAGCAATCAAGGTACTTTCCACCAACTGTCTGCCTGTGATTGGGTCATATGGGAAATGGAGATGGGATTTGGCTGAACCTTGGAAGTAGGGTCTGATCTACTACAGATCTAGCAGGGATCTAGCAGGTGCTCCCATTCTGGTAGCAGGATTGTGGTAAGGTTGGGGAGCCTTCCTTAACCTTTGCGAATCAAGCTCCATCTGTTTTCCCAAGAAGACATGACAAAAACAGGACCTGGGGAGACGAGGAAGTAGGCCCCTTGCATTTCATTCCATGACTGCTGGCCTATGATGTTGTGGAAAAGTTTTTTTTTTTTTTTCCTTTTAAATAAGAGGAAGCTCTTTACTAATAGTTGTCACATTTTATGCTCAGACATCTTGAGCCAAGATAAATGATATCATTTTCCCAGAGGTCAAAATTATAGGAAAGAAACTTGGAAAGGATTGTTCTATCTAGGATCTCTGAATCAGAGTCTGAGATGCCTCCATATCAAAAGAACCCCAATATCTGATTGTTAAGAGTCAAGATCCATTCCTCTGCCACAGCCTGACCTAGATCAGCACATGTGCCTAGGGACTGAGCCACTTTTCCCTTTCCTAACCCTCTTCATCCAGTACCTGTCTTCTCAGGCCAGCTGAGAAGGAGTTAAGTTTTTGCCTTTCTTCTTATTTCCCCAGATAAATAATTCAGGTCTACTTTTTACTTAAGGAATGCTCAGCAGTATGGGTAAAATTAGTAACATGAACAACATGAGGAGGTTACACAGCCTCACAAACTGCAACGGTGTGCAGCATTTAGGACCTGGTGAGATGAGTTTGTAATGTGTGGAGGAAACCTGGCTGGTCACTCATTCTTGGGGAACAATTCTTTGGGTCTGGTCTGGTCTATGACTATGTAAGTTAGGGACACACTGTCTTCAGGGTCCTTTGTAACTGTATGGGCTCCATGGGCCTGCCTCAACTCATAGGGTACTGGAATGGGCTTTGAATTTGGGACCAATGTGAGGCACTAACTCAGCTGTGGGGAAAGTTACAGCTATTGGCACTGGAACATTTCAGGATTTTCCCTAGTTGTGTCAAAAAGACCCTGACAGTTACTTATTCTCTCGCTTTTCCTTTTTTGGGCTTCCACTGGGTCATTTATTCTCTTTTGCTTAAAATGTGCAGATGACCCCTGGTCATTATGCACAAAGGACTGTAGACATATTGCCCTTTGTCAGATGTCCTGGGCTTAGGTTCCAGTTTTTGACTTTGTTTCTATTAACCACATCTGAATTTTGCTGTTTGCCCAGAAAGAGGCATCCTCTCTCTTACCTCTGGGCTTATGTACTAGCCTTTCTTTCTGCCTGGAATTCAATGCATGCCACTCTTCCTGCATCTCCTTTTAGCATTCATTTTCATGTGGCTTCCTCTTAATCTTGGGTTCCTGATGACAGTTTGTGAGTTGTTTATTTGATTCTGTTCCTTTGAGCGCCGTGAGGAGAGGAAACACGCTCAGTGTGATGCTGCTGCATGTAGCACAGTGCCTGGAACACAGCATGTGCTCAATAAATCAATGAATGACTTCAAAAACTTCCTTTTAGACTCTACATCCATTTCTTCCTGAGGGTATGAGTAGTTTCTCCTCCTTGACATGGGACACTTTTGTGGAAAAATTTGAGAAGCTCTCTTAGATCTCCTTCTTCACCTGTCCTTAGACTTGAGTTTCTCAGCTCTCTGGTTTCGAGGCAGTGATGCAGAGTGTCCTCTGCTAATAGTCATTTTACTCTCTCCCCACAGCACTTAGGGTGCCTGGAAATGTTTTACTTGGAATCAGAAGAACTATATCCTGTTTGGATTTCATGTTGTGGGATTTTTCTATGAGTTGCAAAATTTTCCTGAGCCTCAACTTCCTCCGCTGTTTAACGGCTATAATAACATGCTTCCTGTTTCTAGGAGGGTTTGCTAATAACATCAAATGAAATAAAACATGAAGTTACAAATGTGACACACATATAATCTGAGACAGATAAAAGTCTGGAGTGAGCATAAATAAACTTCTAGACTTTCCAGACATGTGTCCAATATTGGACTCACCATCCTTGTTCTGGCTGTCTATTGCTGTTTAACAAGCCACCACAGCATCGTGGCTTAAAATAATAACAACCGATTTATTTTGCCCACTGTGGGTAGGTTGTGCTCAGCATCTTTCACTCGGGGGCCTCTCACATGTTTGCAGGAAGATTGTGGCAGGACCTCGGTCATTTCAAAGGCTTCTTCACTTACATGGCTGCTGCTTAGGCTGAGGAAGACTCAAAACAGTGAGGTGCCTGGAACCATCCAGTTAGGCCTCCCAGAGTGTGCCTCAGGAGCAAAAACAAATGCTGCATAGTGTTTTCTAATCTAGCTTTGCAAGTCATACCTCTGCAGCCTGTTGAGGTAGTCATCAAGTCCTATCCAGGTTCAAGAGGACAAACCCCACCTACTAATGGGAAAAATGTAAAAAAAATTAATAGATTTAAAAAGAAAAATAAGGGGGAAAGAGGTGGGGAAAGGATATAGGGGGTGAATATGGTGCAAATACCATGTACACATGTATGTAAATGGAAAATGGTATCTGTTGAAACTCTTCCAGGAACAGCAGGGTGGGGGGAGAAGGGATAAAAGAGAATGGTGGAGGGAGTGAATTCAAGTATATTATATTTGATACATTGTAAGAACTTTTGTAAATGCCGTAATGTACCCCCCACCCAGCACAACAATTAAAAAAACTCTAAAAATAGAACTGCCATCTGATCCAGCAATACCACCCCAAGGGACATATCTGAAGGAAGGTAAGTCAGGTATATACCTGCACAGCCCCACACCCAAAAAAGAAAACCAAACTTTTATAATCTTTCCTGCCCTCAAACTACTGCTCCTTCACTGTTCCTTACATCAACAAGTGACAACTCCCATTGTTCAGTTGCTTCAGCCAGAAGTTTAGAAATTATCCTCAATTCCTTTCTTTCCCTTGCTCTCCACACCCACTGAGTAGATTCTATTAACTCTACCTCCAAAATTATCTCTCAAATATGTCCATTTCCATCCGCCCTCACTGCCATCCATCCTAGACACGTTACCACTTTCTTTTATCACCAATTACAATAGTCGTCTATCCTAATTGCCCTTTTCACCCTGTTCTTTCTTTCTAGCTTATTGTGTACACTGCCATTGGTGGAAGTTTTCTAAAATGGTCCTCTGTCTTCCTCCTAAGACTCTTCAGTAGCTGCTATGGTGAATGAGACAGCAGAAATTTGATAATAAAGCTCACACACACATCATCATCATAGTTGCCTCCTGTGCTCACCTTGTCTGTGTTCATTCTACTTCTTTAAATGAATCTTGCTTTTGTTGTTTGAGCATTTGATACTAATTTTTCTTTTCCCCTTTGGTTGAAACACTCATTATTCCCAGTCCTCATATTTTCTTGGCTTAATCTTACTTATATTAATTCCTACTTATACTTTCTACAGAAGCCATTCTTGAACCCTAAATTCAAGTCACACGTTTCCTTTTATGTGTCCCTCAGCAGTCCATATTTTCCTTATCCTAACACTTATCAACAATAGTGGAATTGTCTGATTGTTTTTATTTACTGAAGTGAAAGATTCTTAAGGGAAAGAGCTATATTTATCTATTGTTTGCTTGTTTGATATTTTGGTGGTACTGGGGTTCAAACTCAGGGCCTTGTGCTTGCTAGTGGGGCACACTACTCCTTGAGTCATTCCACTAGCCCATATTTATCTACTAAGCACACAGAGCCTAGCACATAGTAAGTGCTTCCTATAAGTTATTAGATGAATGAGCAAGTGAGTAAGTTGATGCACTTATGTATGTTTGTTTGAAGAAATAGATGAAAAAACAGATTGAAGAAAGAAAGGAAGGAGAGAAGACAGGAGTAAGTTATGAGTCATTTCAGCCAGGTTGAGATCTCTGAGTGAACTCACTGGCCCTGACAAATTCTTTCCCCTATTTCTCACAGTGGCTATATCAAATCTTGCCTTTATCTTCAAGGTATCTTTTTTTTATTCATTTATTCACATGTGCATACATTGTTTGGGTCATTTCTCCACCCTTCCCCCCCTCCCCTTCTTCCCCTCCCCTCCCTCCCTTCCCCTCAGATCTTCAAGTCATCTTACTTCAGTCCTCTGCCTATCAGCAGAGAACTCACGTCCTATTTTGTTGAAGAAGTCTAGGCTAGAGATATTAGGCAGGAAACCCTTTGATTTCCTGTCCATCATTTCCAAACCAGAAACTTCTCTATAACCCCAACCGTCTTCCCTTAGAGCATGAGGTATCCTCCTCCCAGTCAACTGTGCTTTCAACTTTGTGCTGAGCCCTTATGAGCCCAGTCCTATCCCTTCTCCCCATGTCTCCTCCTCTCCTGGCTTCGTCCCGTGGCATATCTTAGCTTAAGTCATTTCCCTCCCTAAATAAAATAAATAAAACCAAAGCCCCTCTCTACTTGCTATGCCCTTTACATAATTCCTTTCTTCCCATCCACACTGAAATGTCTTGGGAGAACACTTGATATCCTTTTCTCTTTCCTTGCCTTCAGATTCCAGTCACAATAATGCCTACACTCATTATATTTCCTATGTCAGGAAACAGTACCCTGTTTATTTTGTCACTCAATACACAAATCTGGGGTCCTGATATCTATTGCCAAATTACTTCCTGAAAGGGTTTGTGTAGGTTTGTTAATCTTTGATCTCATCAGAGTGCTCCAGGTAACTCCATATCTATATCTTTAAAACTCACCTCCTCCTTTTCTTGCTTAACAATTTTACTAGAAGCATGAGTCATGTTTCTACAGTAATCAGAGTCAAAGTTTTCTCTTTTGAACATCTTTCTCTTTCTTGAGTAATGTGTTTGGTATGAGATTTTTTGAGGGGAGGAAGTGTCTTTTTGAGAAAGGGTCTTGTGATCCAGGTTGACCAGGAACTTGTTATGTATCTGGAGCTGGCTTTGAACTCACAATCTTCCTACCTCAGCTTCCTGGGTGTTAGGAGTACATGTGCACTTCCATGTCCAGATATGACTTCTTTCCATATGATTTTTTTCTTTATAATTCTGCTTTTCTACAGACAAGAAACATGGGTGAGCACAGGCAGTATCACTTGTGTTCCTATTATAAGCTACAGGTAAACATTGTTGCTCTATCTTATACTTTAAGACACATTACCAACTGCTTAGTCCTATTAGAATTAAGCCAAAATAGTAGTTCCATGTAAGCTTGCTTTGCCTACCTTCTAAAATATGGAACTATTAGAAGGTGCAGCAAGGTTTTATCAATAATTTAACCACTTCCTTATTTCTTAGTAAGAAGTTCTGGCCAACCATCAGGTCAGTCTTTTTAGAATTATTACACACAGATGCCTGTGTCTCGACGCCCTGACATGTTGGAATAGCTAAGGTTTCTACTTGCCTCTATAACTGTGAGTTGGTCCATCTTCTGAACATACGGCTGAGACTTATTGGAGAGCTGTCAAGCACTACCTAGGTTAGAATTCTTAATCAAAGTTGGGGTGGGGATTTGTCCCGCAGGGAACACTTAACAATGCCTAGAGGCACTTTTGGCTGTCACAACTGGAGAAATGCTATTAGTATCTAATAGGCAGAAGCCAGGGACATTGCTAAAGGGTCTTCAAAACACAGGACAGATGCAATTCCCCCAAAAGGAATTATTTGGCTCAAAATATCAATAATGTCAAGATTGGAAAAACACTGACTTAGGCTGCCTATTATTATCATTTCTACTAATTCACATGGACCCAAGAATGAAAGTAAGTATGGAATATATGTCTAGAGGTTTTTAAATCCTGGAGAGAATGTCCTCCTAGGCTTTAAGAGGCCACACACTCTGCCCTGCTGATATCAGAGCCTGGCTTGCCAGGAACACTGTGGTTTGCCAATAGTTGTTGCTTGAACTGAAATGATTCAGTGAGAGAAACTGTAAAATATGGACTACATCAATTAGAAGCACTGTGGAAGTAAGTGCCTGGGTGTGTCTGCATAGGTACCAGGACAGGGCAGGTGCTTAATAAATATTTGCTGAATAGATAGAGGTTGAGAGGATGAATGAATCCTGAAATGAAGGATAGATGAAAGCCCTGGGGAAATGGTAGCCACTGGGAAGTGAAAAGCAAGATATATATTATGTTGAATAATATAAGTGAGCTTTTGAGTGACAATGTGTGACACCTATGATATAGGATACATTCCTTCTTTCTTCTACCTTTAGCTTTTTTTCTGGCTGCTCATTCCCAGATTATATATGCATATTCTTCATTTTTATTCCCCCTACAAGAAGAACCAATAGACCTGCCTTCATTTTGCACCTTCTTGCTATTATCTTTTCTTTCTCCTTGCCTTATCCAAACCAGGTTTTTCAGAACCTGAGGCTTATACAATTTAGGGTATCTTCAAGAAAAAATAACTAACAGAACCTAAATACAAATAGGAATAAAAATTAACTCAGTTAGATGAGAAAAGAAACCCCAACAAATTATCAGTTTTTAAAAGCTGACAACTACTTTATAAATCACGAAAGCCAAAATAATAACATGGCAATTTTAATTAAATGTCTTCATGCTACGGAAATACTTTGCCACTGAACAGCTCAGGCTTCTGCTTGCTTCAAACCTTGTTTCTCCACTACTTCCCTCCTACTGTCTGGTTGCTATATGCCCACGGAGAGAGCAGGTGAAGCTGCACACAGGGCATCAGGGATTACCCTGGGTGCCATTTCTTCAACAAAGTGATGGCAGTACCTCACACAGAAGAATCTGTGAACCACATAAATATATCCCAGTGAGTTCCAACTAAATATTTTCCAGTTCTAGTTCCTCTTAGATAGTTTGAAAAATACCCACAGTGTGACATCACCTAGTTCAAACGGAAATGTGATGAAGGGGGTGTTGGACTGGAAAGAGGCAGTGGTTTAATTATTTGTACTTAAAACTGTATTGTGTTTTGTAAAAAAAAAAAATCAGTGCATGAAGACACTTTGAGGGCCCCTCCAGAGCTGTACCAGGGGTTCTAAAGCTTCAGTTTCATTACTTTAAAGTAGTTCTGCCTGTGACCCAAACGCTCAAATAGTTTTCAAATGATCTCTAATGACTTGCTTTTAAATAAAGTGTACCTGGGAATGGCGGTGCATGGCCATAACCCCAGCTTTCAGGAGGGGGAGGAAAGAGGACATGAGTTTAAGACCAGCCTGGGATACACAGTTAGACCTTATCTCAAAAAACCAAGGGCTAGGGTGTATCTCAGTTGTAGAGTACTTGCCTAGCATGCATGTGGCCCTAGGTTTGATCCCTAGCACTGCCCCCCAAAAAACTGTGAATGCACACAATATATGAGCTATTTCTACAGGCTATTTTTTTCCAGAGTAAAACACTATCAACAAAGTGAAAATATCTCTCTAATCCCAAATCTCTCCCTAACTATATTTATTAACACTCATTCCCCTAGCTCACTCCAGACCATCAACTCTGGCCTCTTTGCTATTATTTAAATATGGCAGGCACTCCTCCACCACAGGACTTTTGCTCTATATCTTCCTTCTGCATGAGTCACTCTTACTCAAGATTGACTTCCTTTCTCCTCTCTTGAGTCTTTGCTCAGATGTGACCAACTTAAAAATGACATTTGCCAGTCATCAACTTCTACCAATATTCACAACTTTCCTTTCTCTATTCTAAGGTTTCTCCTTTGTCATAGCAATTATCACTGCTATGACAAAATGTATTTAATGTATTTAGTTATTGTATTTATTGTTTACTCTGTTAGCTCGAGGATCTTTGCTGTTTAGTTCATTGATGTATACCAAGTGTCTCAAACAGTACCTGATACATTTCTCAACAAACAGTAGTGGTTTTTGTTTGTTTGTTTGTTTGTTTTGTGGGTACTGGGCGAGGCAGGTGCTCTACCACTTGACCTCCAGTCCCAAACACTAGCTTTTAAACATCCTTTGATTCAGACTGCATTCCTGATCAGGGTCAAGACTTCTGATGAAGACCATATGCACTGCTTCACAGCAGAAATCCCTTCTTGGTTCCCTATGCCACCAGTCCAAGCTAAATCAGAACCACTGGGTAGCAATACTTTCTCCAAGGTGGGTCTCACTCTGATTTTCATTTGCAGATACTTCGCAAATTGTGATGTCCGGAAGCAACGTGAGCCTGCAAATCTCAGAGATACCCAAAAACTTCACACATCTGACCTGGCTTCATACTACCAAACAAAAGATTGTAGAATGGACATTGGGTGAAACTCCTAACTACTTCCAGTCTAGATTTAAGGACAAAGTCATTCTTGATCCTGAAAGTGCTGTGCTACACATCAAAGAGGTTGGAAAAGAAGAGAACGGCATCTACCTCTTAAGAGTGTTGATGCAGAATGGAAGTGAAAAAGAGAGGAAGATAACCCTGAAGGTGATTGGTGAGTTAGAGGAGCCAAGGGTTATGCTCCCACTCCAGGACCCTAGGTGGGCCACTGGGAGTTATGGGGACACTCTGGGAGAAGGAGAGAAAAACCTCAGGACAGGTTTAATTTACTTAGCCTGAAGCCAGTTTGGCTTGGGAGTAAACCTGGGGCTAGTAGAACTCAAAACTGGTAACCACAGGACATCTAAAACCTGCTCTGGAGGGCTGGGCACATTGGCTGAGCATCATGTGATAGTCTTTTCTCTCTCTCTCTCTCTCTCTCACACACACACACACACACATGCACACGCACACACATGCACGCACATGACAAAATACTCGAGAGAAACAGTGCAAAGGACAAAAGATTTATCTGGGCTCATGGTTTCGGACCATGGTTGCTTGACTTTTTTTGCCATGGGACTGTGGGGAGGCAGAGCATCACAGTGGAGATGGTGCAGTGAACAGAACTGCTCCTCTCCTAGTGGGAAAGAAGGAGAGGGTGGGAGAAGGGGTAGGAACAAGATACATCTTTCAAAGTCATGCTCCAGTGACCTACTTCCTCAATGAGGCCACACCGTTCACAGTTTCTGCTACTTTCCAATAGTCTATTCAATTATGAATTCATCAATGAATTAATCCATTGATTGATAAAATCATAGTTCTCACAATCCAGTTTCCAAAAGTACCTCCATCTGGGAACACAGGAGCCTTATGGGGGACACAAGCAGAAAGAAACAAACAGTAAAGAAAGAAGACAATAGAGATCATTTCTTCTCTGTTTCTTTCATTCTGTCCTGTAATCCAAATCAGTTCTGAATTCATTCTAATTGTATCTTTGAACTTAGCACTCATCAGGCTTATGAAAAAAAGATATAAAAACATAAACATTGGGGCAGAAGCTATTAAGGGTGTCTTTAATCTATTAGGATGAGTGTGACAAAAACTTCCACTTACAGCTCCAGACTAATCATTATATATGGAATAAGGACTAGAGCTTTGTACTTGGAGTCAGACAGACTTGGGTTCAAGACTTTTGACTAAGTGAAATAAGTCAGGTGCAGAAAGACCAATAGATTCGTGGAAGCTAAAAAAGTCAATCTCATAAAAGTAGAGAATAGCATAGTGGTCACTAGAGGAAGATTGAATAATGGGTGCCAAATTCAGTTAAATAGAAGGAATTAGTTTTAGTGCTCGAAAGCACAGTAGATTTATTATATATTTCAAAGTAACTAGAAGAGTTCCTAGCACATGGAAATGATAAATGTTTTGAGATGAATCGAATTACCCCAATTTGATCATTACACATTGCATACATGTGCTAAATTATTACCCAGTACCCCCTCAATATATATAATTATTATGTGTCCATTAAAACTTTAGAAAAATATGTTAATATCTCTATGCCTATATTTAGGTAAGGTTCTTTTGATGGCAAGTAATAGAAACCAATTCACTGTACCTTTACCAAAAAAGGAGAAGTTATTTTAAGAAACTGGGACTGTTTAGAACAATTTAAGCAATGTAGAATTGTCAAGAGGACTGAAGGGCAGGAAAACAAAACCAGGACCAGTCTATAGCCCCCAGGCTCAGGAATCTGTAGACTACACCTATCAATCCCGGCTTATTTCTCCAAGCTTATACTTTTGTACCCCCAAGTTTAAGTTCTCCAAGAAATTTGATAAGAAACAGACTTATCCAACTTAGTTCAGGTGTTTGTGTATGATCTAAACATGGACAAAAGGACCAAGTAATAACTAAGAAATGTGGTTCCTGGGAGGCCTCCATGGGGTTGGGTGAGGAATACTGCAGAAGAAGGGCTGGGCTGAGATCCAAGGGAGAGGTCCCTCATTATATTATGGGAATGATTATATCCACTTTTTAGAATGCTATGAAGATCAAAGTAGATAATAAAAGTGAAAAAGGAATTTAATGCTAACAGAGTGCAGATGAAGTGTTGTATATATTCAGGTCCCAGCAGCGAGATGATCCTTGCTCTAAGAGGCTAAAGTCACTTCTTATTAATTTTCTCCATGTCATATGGCCTGAAATTCAGGAAGTCTTGCGAACAGGAAAATCTCATACAATTTTGTTCTTGTAAACCAGTTAAGACCAAAAATGAATAAAGAAATAAAATTTAAAAGCCTCTACTTATACCACGTACCAACATCTGTAATTTCTGTTGTATAAATACTCCCACTGCAGCTGATTCCAAGTTATTAAAGGTTTTTCACAATCACCTTGTAAAATTTCTAAATACCTAAATTTCTAAATACCAGCACACCCTCCTCAGGTGTGCTAAGCAGAAGGATCATCCTTCAGTGCAGTCCAGGCATTTGTGGTAGCTCAAAGGGATGTCTTGAAGCCAAACCACCCTAGCTGCTCACCCACAAATTCCCAGGGCTGTGCTAATCATGGTGGGAAATGCAGAAGGAGGGTAAGGCATAAAGCTAGAATAGAGGAAATGGTGAAAACCAGCTCAGTTAAAGTGTATAAGGGAAGTTCAGCAATCAGACAGTGCTTCATGGAGGAGATGAAATTTGAGTTCAGGAGGCCAGATTGGTAGTTCTTTTACAGTACCCCCCCACACACACACAACCAGAGACCAGCTGATCTGGTAAATTCTTGATCACGTTTTAATCTTAATCAGTGTACCTAATACTGTTTGTAAGGTATTTTACCCTTAACTAGAATGAAAAAACTGCCAGAGAATTTTAGGTAAACCAGTGTTAGCTAAGGAAGGACCAGATACCGTGGTCATCTCTTATCATATCTGGCAGTAGGACAACAGAAGTGATGATAATGTGACCTCCAGCATGTATGCAATACTTACACCATGCAAAAAAAGCATGGTTTCCTTCTAGAGACAGGAGTGGTGGCATGAGCCTGTGCTAAGCACTGGGGAAGGTGAGGCAAGAGGACCTCAAGTTCGTGGCTATCAGGGCTACATAGTGAGTTCCAGACTAGCCTAGACTACATAGTAAGATGTTGTCTCAAAAAACAAACAAATAAAAACCTTGCTATGTGGCATACACTGTGCTAGACACTGAGATACCAGAACAACCAACCAATCAACACTGACATGTGCTGGAAGATACAGGAGTTTCTTCCCTGTAGCTCCATCAGAGTCCAGGGCATGACATTTCCCCTGAGTGGCTGTGCAAAGGGCTTTGCCATGGGCAAGCCAGGACCCCTTATCTCAGGACTCTCCCTGAATCTGAGCTCAAGAATCTTGAGGGACAAACTGGCCTCAAGGTGCCAGATGTGAACTATTAGAGAAGGGGCCCTGAGCATCTCAGACAGTTGGGACACCAAGTCTGGCCTCAGCTGATCTCCCCACCAGCTACCCTGTTGCACTTTCTGGCTCATAGATGGCTGTCATCCCATTTTGTTCATGGTTGCATGTAACGGAGTCTGGCTCCCCCTACTGGATTCAGCCTAGAGTCACCTCCAAGGAACAGCTCTTACAGTCTGAAGCCTCCAAGAACAAATTGCTCATTGGCTCCCTCTGTAGGAGCCTCTTCTCCATGACTGCCTCACCAGTCCCTTCCTGGTTCCCTTTTTAACCCTTCACAGCATAAATGCTTCATAAATGTATAAATTCATTGTTTCACCTTATGACATACTCATTTTCAGACCCTGTACCCAAGCCTGTCATAAAAATTGAGAAGATACAGAAACTGGACGACAACTGTTACCTGAATCTATCATGTTTGACACAGAATGAGTCTGTCGACTACCTTTGGTACAGGGACTCAGGGCCCTTTTCCAAGGAGCTCCAGAGAAGTGTGCTTGAAGTCATCATTAATCCACAGAACCAATCAAAGTTTTACACCTGCCAAGTCAGCAATCCTGTAAGCAGCAAGAACGACACGCTGTACTTCATTCCACCCTGTGACCTGGGTAAGATATGTCTCCAGGGGTGCTGAGGTGGGCACAGGGTGACTGCTTTTCTTTGCAATGAAGTAAAGATGTGAGGATTCTACTCAGTCTTCTAGCACAGAATGTAGTTGGGAATCCCAAAGGTGTCTGTGAGGCTTGAGAAACTCTCTCTGGGCTCTGCCACCACCTTTCAGCTAGCTCACCTCACCTTTGTGGCGCTCAGTGACCTCATCCACCAATGGCATTCAGCATAGGATCTCTGATGCTCCCCCCAATCTCCACCCCCAATGCATGATCTTCAAATCTGAGGTCTGGGGAATTATAGGACAATCTGAGACATCAGAGTGAGCAGGAGAAAAAAGGGCAAGAGAGAGAACAGTCTAGACATTACTGAGCAGATGCTTTGAAGGGTTTCTGATGGGTAGCTTAAAGCAGCAAGGAAAGAAAGTAAAGTACATGAGCTTGAGATGGTCACTCTCTCCTGGAGACAGCCTAATCTGCAGGTGGATACTGCCAGGTTTATGCTTCTTGCTGAAGGCAGAAAGGACAGCTCTTGGTTTCATATTTCAGATTCCTCTGTCTCTCAGGAGGATCTACTCACGAGAGCATCACTCCTGTTCTAATTCAGGCCTACACTACCTGTGTGGTGTAGGAGCAGCTAAAGTCATAGGTTTTAAAGTTGGTCACATCTGGGGTCAATCCTGATATCGTCACTTACTAGCTAAAGAAGTTTAGTAGCTTTTCCAAGTTGTGTCTGTCTTAAATATAAGACAAGATAATAGTTCTTATCTCATAATGTTATAAGGAATAAGTGAGTCAAAATATGTAACTTTCTTAATATTGTGTCTGACAAGTCTTCAATGAAAACTGGCTAAACCAGGCTCAGTTCTTCAAGTCTGGAGACTCTAGGACTTAGGGGATCATTAATAAGTTTGGATTACAATCTCCAGCACGCTAGGCCCCATGCCTTCATGCCTTCAAAGTGACATTGCTTAGTCCTGGTACACATATCCTTCCAGCATAACTCATATTTGTGGTGCCAATGTTTACCTATTATCCCTGTCCATGTCCAGTCACCGGGGATGCTGGCCTTTGGGAACATTGCTCTCCCGTGGTCTTCCTGGGCTCAGTCTTCCCCTTTGCCTGTGCTGGTTCACCTCTGTTTCCACATGTGGGCTATGAGATCTGTATGTTTTTCCTTCTTCTTCTCAACTAATTGGTCAGGTCATGCCTCCTAACATCCCTTGCTCTTCTACCAACACAGATCCAATGAAACCACAATTTGACTTGGCAATTCCAATGTTACTTTCATGTCAATACCACATATCTGAGATACAGAAAAAGGAAGGAGCACAGTCCTGTCCCTTATAGCATGAAGTAACTGCTTATCTGCAGAGAGGTCCCCTTTTGTGGAAAGGGCTAAAACAGTCTTGATATTTTTTAGTCATCATATTATCCTAGAAAGCATTCCCCAAATCCTTCTCCATCACTCATTTCCTTTGTCTTATGATTTCTCCTTCTTACTTCTCCTCTGCTCTTCTTTCCTTCCCTTCTTTTCTGTTCTCTTTCCTTTTTCCCCCTATCTCTGTTTCCCCTTTCCTTTTTTCCTCCCAGTTAGTATAGATGGTTAGTGGGGTGGAAAAACAAGGAGAAATGGTCCTTCCTGTCCTAAAGTCAGCTATGCATAACATTATAAGGTCATCTGTTTATATCTGAAACTCACCTATCTTATATGAGATCAATTCTTTCCCAGACCCACAGCACATCACACAACTAAGCAGTTTGTTTATTTTTAAAACATCATCCTAATATGTTATTTAAAAAATATTTATCATATGCTAGATAGTGAACAAAGTCCAATGATATATTAACTCATGTAATCCTCAGGAGAGCCTAAGGCAACATTATTTTGGTAATTATCCTTCAACTTTTTTTTTTTATTCATATGTGCATACAAGGCTTGGGTCATTTCTCCCCCCTGCCCCCACCCCCTCCCTTACCACCCACTCCACCCCCTCCCGCTCCCCCCCACCCCCTCAATACCCAGCAGAAACTATTTTGCTCTTATCTCTAATTTTGTTGTAGAGAGAGTATAAGCAATAATAGGAAGGAACAAGGGTTTTTGCTGGTTGAGATAAGGATAGCTATACAGGGAGTTGACTCACATTAATTTCCTGTGTGTGTGTGTTACCTTCTAGGTTAATTCTTTTTCATCTAACCTTTTCTCTAGTTCCTGATCCCCTTTTCCCATTGGCCTCTGTTGCTTTTAAGGTATCTGCTTTAGTTTCTCTGTGTTAAGGGCAACAAATGCTAGCTAATTTTTTGGTGTCTTACCAATCTTCACCTCTCCCTTGTGTGCTCTCGATTTTATCATGTGCTCAAAGTCCAATCCCATTGTTGTGTTTGCCCTTGATCTAATGTCCACATATGAGGGAGAACTATGATTTTTGGTCTTTTGAGCCAGGCTAACCTCACTCAGAATGATGTTCTCCAATTCCATCCATTTACCAGCAAATGATAACATTTCGTTCTTCTTCATGGCTGCATAAAATTCCATTGTGTATAGATACCACATTTTCTTAATCCATTCGTCAGTGGTGGGGCATCTTGGCTGTTTCCATAACTTGGCTATTGTGAATAGTGCCGCAATAAACATGGGTGTGCAGGTGCCTCTGGAGTAACCTGTGTCACAGTCTTTTGGGTATATCCCCAAGAGCCTTCACAACTTTTTGAAATTATTGTTGTGCTGGGTGGGGGTACATGGTAGCATTTTCAAAGATTCTTACAATGCATCAAATATATCATACTTGAATTTATTCCCTCCACTTCTCTCCTTCATTCCCCCTCCCCCAATTCCCGGAACAGTTTCAACAGGTATCATTTTTGCATTTACATACATGTGTACACATTATTTGCACCTTATTCATCCTCCTACCCCTTTCCTTGACACCTCCCCCCTCCCACTAGCTCTGCCCTCCTGTTCGCCAATTTTGCAGAAGAAAAAACATAAAAGAGTAAGAGAAACATGGTGTTTTTCTAGTTTGAGATAAAGATAGCTACACAGGGAGTTTCCTTGTGTTGTTTGCATGCATGTATGTATTACAACCCCAATTGGTTCATCTCCACCAGTCCTCTTCACCCCTCCTTAGTCCCCTTCCCACAGTGGCCCCAGTCAGTTTAAGATTTCTATATTCATTCCTGTACCATGAGCACATCAACCACATTTAAGTTTTTTTTTCCTTCCCTTGCCCTATCCCTCCCGTGTGCAGCCTCTCCTTAGTGTGACCCCTGTCCTATAAAATATTATGCATTTGTTTTAGGTTTATGATCTGCATATGAGGGAGAACATGCAGCTTTTGTAAGGCAGTGTATTTAAGGGATTTCTTCACTCTTTCTATTTTAAATTAGTAAGGATTGAGCTTTTGCAAGGAAAAGGATGTCCCAGGCACACTGGGATTGGCTTTGGGAAGGAAACTGCTTGCCTTGCTTAAAGAGTTCCCATGTCAAAGTCCAGTACTGCTATACCTTATCAATACATCAGTCAAGACACTTAGGTGTCTTTCTTGTTCTTTCAGCCCAATCCTCTGGAGTAACACAGATTGCAGATTGGCTAATGTTCACGGTACTCACCACTCTTGGCCTTCTGTTTACCTGAGATGAGCGCTTCTTTCTCAAGAGTGAAACTTCAAGTCCAGAGACCGTCGTCTTCATCACAACAATGCTCTTAGCCAGCATAGGAGTTCTGGCTATATGGGACAGGGGAAGCATCAAGATTTTCAATTAGCTTTTTAAAAATGATGGTCGCTATTTCATTTTATATTCCCTAGTTCATTTCCAACATACATAAAATGATATGCATACATTCCTTCCACCCCCTAAAAAATGTGCTCACACTATGCTAATATTTCCTTTTACATTTTTTAAAATATATTTCGATTTTGTGTGCTGATGATTGAAGCCAGATCCTTGGGTATGCTAGGCAAGCCCTCTACCACTAAATTACATGTCCAGCCTGGCAAAAATTTTTTTACCTGTTTAGATATTTAATATGTCCATCAAAGTGGATTCCTGAAGTTGCTCAAATTCTGTCAGATTGTGCCTGCATCATTAACCTGGACAAACTGGAACACAAAGATGAAGAGCTTGAGATTACAGGCTCCTGTTCTCAGCACAGCTGAGAAGTTAAGTTATGCTACCTCTGACATTTGTTCTAACATCTATACCAAGTTTCCTGGGGTTCTGCTCTCCCAAGATCCTTTCCTACACCAAGTCCAGCCTCCTTTTCTGTGGTTTGACTAGAATCCCACTTCTTAGGTCTCCTGTGAATATGAAGTCAGGTTTGCTCCCTGAGAACTGAGTATGCAGATTTATCACCTAACAAGGATCCTTGTCACCAAGCCTTTCATGGAGACCTGAGTTCTCCTTTCTCTTTTCACAAATGTCACTATGTGAGCAAGACTTCAAGTCTTAGATGTGTCATGGGATCCAATGAAAGCCTGAGATTGACACAATGTTCTCACCAAGATCTGTCACTAAAAGCGGGCAAAAGTTCCCAGGTCCACCCCTGCATAACTCCTAGGATTTTTTTCTTTTTTGCTTCTCTAAGTCCCTTCATGGGCCCAGAGCTGGCCAGGGGCAGGAAGGTGGGAGCACTAAAAGATGCTCTTTCCCTTTAGGAAACTGCCTACCACAGACAACTTTCTCCTTAAACCGGGCCAGCCTCTCCTACCTCTGTTTTTTTTTTTTTTTTTTTAACCAAGAGTTTACATTGGGGTCCTCAGTTCTTGCATTCCTATGAGGGAAGAGTTCAAGCAAGACATGGAACACAGTGGAAATAATAATAAAGTTTATTAAGAATAATAAAGCTGGAATTGGAGGTGTGGCTCAAGTGGTACAGCGCCTGCTTTGCAATCATGAAGCCCTGAGTTCAAACCCCAGTCCCACCAATAAATAAATAAACAAATAGAATAGAGTAGCATAGAATAGTCAAGTCTATTAAGAGAAGGATGAGTACATCCCCATAAAGAAGAGCAGGCTGTCTCAGAGAGATCAACAGCACACTTTCTGTGTTCCAGCTTTATTGGGGATTTAAGGGGAAGGTTTCAGAGAACCTTTGATAGCTTTATCAAAACACTATCTTTTTTAAAATCAATTATATCTTATCATAAACTTTACCACAATCCTTTTACGACTTGGCTTTACCCTTCTGGTTTTACCCTTATCTACTTGTTTCCATTTTGTAACAATCCTTTAAGACAAAACCTTATGTTGCCATGTAAAAACTTTTTTTGTCCAGAAAATGTCCTCTTATCTTATAAATTTCTTACCTCTCGTCATGCCTTACCAAATCCAATCAATGATATCTTAGCATAAACCCTGACCTGATCCTAAGACATGCTTTTAGCCTTCTGCTTTTGCTCATACTTGGCCCTTTCCATTTTGGAACAATCCTTGGCTTTTAGGACAAAACCTTATTTACATACAAAATCCTTTCTTAGTCAAATATTTTCTCCTTCTTTATTATCTTTTCCTTCTCCTCATCTTCTACTAACTGGTCTCTTTTTACCTTCTTTGCTAACCCAAACTATATTTATGACAAATAAAACAAATAAAGATCACCTTTCCATACATGGCTGTAGATACTATGTAAGCTTTCGCATTATAGAATGTTACATTTTAACTAGGGCTGGCTAAGATAACAAAACTTCTGAATGACCTTACCAGCAAAGCAAGAAAGAGAGAAAATACACAAAGAGCCTAAAATTTTTACATGTTTACCCTGTATTCACAGCTTAGGATACAAAAGAAAAATAGTCTGAATAATAGTCCAGAGTGATAGAGTAAAACTGAAAAGGCCTCCATATTGATAAGGAATCAGGTAAGCTTACCAGAATCAGAGAAAAATTAAAATTGTCTGTACCTTGAGTTTCCTGACTTGGCTTGCCAAAATAAGTCACCAGATTTGGATCACTGGGTCCAGGAACCAGAAAGTTCTTGATCTATGTTGGAGAAAGAATTTGAGGATGGACACAGAGGAGAATTAAGCAAGAGTGTGTTTATTAATGCAAAGCAAAGCAAAGATGCATCCTCAGATGGGAGAGTGGGCAGACTCCAGGAGTGCTGTGCTGGCAGTCCCAAGATTTTAGTGAGTCTGTAGACTTGGCAATGGTCATTCCTGGAAATCTGGGCGATGTGTCATCAACTCTTCCTACATGTTGGGAGGTGGGGTTCTTGGTCTTGAATGACCAGAGGCTTGTGTATTTTGTGGACTCCAGAGGCTGTAGGTCAGCAAGACCCTGTTGTTTGTCACAAGTCATTCTGTTAACTAAGCAATGTAAGATGTGATTCCTTATCAATGTCCAAACCATCATCCTCAGCCATCAGATTTCTAACTCTCTGCAAAGTCCCTATATCACTTTTACCTGCCACAAAGAAGCCCTCCCCTTTGTACCCCATCTCCTATGTGACAGAGGTGATACTTCTGTTCATCAAACCCTTTCATTTTTCCCCTTTGTTAGTGGAAAAACTCCTTTTCCCAACTCCCTTTGCATCTAGCCATCTGTTGGTTCCAGCCAACAGAAAGGTGTAGAATTGATGTAGGAGAAAGTAAGGGAGTCTGGGAAGTGGAGCCATAGTAATGCAACGACCTTGGATTTGAGTCATTGCTTGGAAAGCAGCTGTATTGAGCATACCTGATAAGTTTAGTTTGGGGTCTGGGGTGTAGCTCAGCGGTAGAGTACTTGCTGAGCATGCATAAAGCCTTGGGGTCAATCCTGATCACCATCCACACAAAAATACCCTTGCCTAGAAGGTTCATGTTTTGTCTGATACCATAGATAATTCCCTAAGATACTCTGCTTCTTCAGCCAAGCCTGCAGTCCCATCCCAACCTCAGCTCTCATCAGTCTGCATCCTCCAGTCAGACTATCTTCCGAGCAGACTATCTCAGCTTTCTTTCTTGAAATTGTTCCCTTCATTTTTCTTTGTAGAAGAGGAGGTTTTCTGAGGAAATGTGTACACACATGTGTACACACACACAGGAATAGAATATAAAGAGCACTTCTGGGGAAAATAGTAAAAAGGAAAGGAACGCCTCTCTTTTGTTTTTTGATGGTGCCAAGGTTTGAATTCAGGGCTTTTGTATTTGTTAAGCCAGTGTCTACAGCTTCAGCCAGACCTTCAGCCCAAGGAATGCTTCTTTATTTCACAAATAAGCTGTTTCTCAGCCACCAAAACAGGCACACCTCTCCAAATATCACAATTCTATTAGTGCTAGTAACTTGGAAACCTGAGGCAAATCTTACCTTAGATGGCCCAGGTCACAGGCACCAACTATTCCTCGACTATCCCATCCCTCAAGGCACCACCAGTCACATAATTTCTCAGTTTCAGTGCAAAAATCAACCTGTGGGCCCCTTGTTTAAAAAAGCAGAAAAAAGTGACATTAAATTAAAAATACAAAATTTTCCTTTGTTCCTCAGTTTCTCTTTCTACTTGAGATAATATTTTCAAGTTTGCTATTTAACATTCTAAGTTAAAAAAAATTAACTCATTTTCATGAATTTTGCCATCTATACTAGGTCTATTTGTCAGTTTTAAATAAAAAATATAAGAACATTTCATTTGTATGTGGAATCACTGAAATTACTCAATTCATATTTTGTAGGTCATGCATGCATTTGTATTTTTGCTCTTACCAGACCAGTATAAATGCTGCAAAAACCTAATTTAATTGCTTTATTTTACTTCTTGATGCACACACATTTCCCCAGCAATTGATGAAAACCAATGGCTTCCATAACAGGATTACTTTGGTCTGGCTTTGAGCCTCATTGAATTCTCACTCATTTTGGATGCGCTCAGATGCTGTGCTCAGGGGTACTTTGAATACTATATTATGTGAATGGGGCAACAAAGGAACAATGGTGGATGTGCATATTCCACGTGCCTCTTCCTCTCAAGTGCATGGTCCATTGTGCCAATGGGTTTCACTTAAAAAACTCATTTCCCCATGGTGACAGAAGAGTACTAACACAAGTGTAGTTGAGACAGAAGAGCCCCTGGAAATCTCCATTGTGACTTCCCTGTGACCTTAAAGGGTGGGAAAGAAGAAAAAGCAGGACAGGGGAGCAGGGGTGGGGGGCAAGGGAGGGAGTGGGAGGAAGGGGGAGAAATGACCCAAACATTGTATGCACATATGAATAAAAGAAATAATAAAAAAAAAGAAAAAGCAGGACCAACCAGAATAAGGACAGTGTGAGGATTAAGGCACAACCAATCTGAACACTGCCGGCACAACAATGGAGAAAATGGATATAAACCTCACCCACCCATGTGCTCTGCTTGTATTCTTCCATTTGGAACACAAAAAACCAAGATCTTCTGATCACAGACTGCACCAGTGCCATTAACATGCTAATCTATGAGAAGGGAAGAACCTGGGGATTCCCAACCAATAATCAATGAGTGCAGAGGGGCATGGGTGGTCCCCAGGCCAGGTGAGGGCAGTCTGAGCTGTCCCTGAGCCAAGGCATGGCCAATTTGAGATGAAATATTAAGTCACATATTTTTTATGAGTCCCAAACTTTCCCTAACTCTAGCCTGCCTCACTTCACATGGGAGCTTTCATTCTTCCCCTTAATAAGCCTTCCTAACTCTATGCTGACCCTTCATTGTCTGTGAAGTTCATTCTTTGGCTTCATGAGACAAGAACCAGGAACACCAATCCTCCCTCTGTCTAAACACCTAAGCCACCAAGGTTGAGTGGAGGCTTTCGGGTCCTACATAAATCTCCCGTATCACAGTGACTCTTTGAGCATTGAGCCTTATGTGACATGTACACGGGCCCTTTTGCATGCCCACAAGGCTGGATTTGTCTCGAGGACACCTAACATCTTAAGCCAAGGCAACTCCTTTCGTTACAAGTTACAGTGCAAGGACCAAGCCTCATTCTTGTGTGTCTTCTATATATCACAAAACATAGTGGGCTGAGTTGCTGTGATGGTGCATGTCTGTAATCCCAGCACTCAGGAATCTGAGACCAGAAGATCACAAGTTCCAGACCAGCCAGCTCTAAACAGCATGGCCCCATCTCAAAGAACAAGAAACAACTAGTTCGTTGGACTGGGGGCCAATAGCGGTGAGTGCTAGTGTGAAGCCCTAGTACAAACTCAGCAGTGCAAAACAAAAGCAAAAAAATTTATCAGGTAAGTGGGCTCATTTTTCAGTGACTCAAGCTATTTGTCTTTATGCAAAGAGCATAAAGCATTTGCCAAAAATTCTTACCATGAGCAGCCTCACTGAAGTCTCAGGATGCATTGTCTTAGGCATCTTCGCAATGGCTCTGGCAAGCTGTGCGGCACTGCCCTCTGCTGGCTCCCTGAAGCAAGCTTACGTAAACTTGAAGCCTTGGTTGAGATCAGTGCTGCTCAACCTTAATTTACCAGCAAATCGCCCAGGGATTTTGCTCAAATGCAGACCCTGGATCAGTAGGTCTGGGATGGGGTCTGAGATTCTGCATTCCTAACAAGATCCAAGGTGATGTCCATGTACCATTTTTGAGCACCAAAGCACACAATATCGCTGAGCTCCCATGCTGTTCAGCTGTTTAGCTTCAAGCCTCCTCCTGGGATTTGGTTCTCTTCCTCACTTGCTGCTCTGCTCTATTCTGGGCTATTACACTCCTTCCTTCCTCAAGTTAAAATTTCCAGTGGTCTCTCCCAGGTCT